GGGACCACAAGCCAGGATCTGGAGCCAAAGGGGTTTCTGTTTATGCTCTAGAGAAGATTCTAGGCAGAACCTACTGTCCAAAGGGATCAAGGGTACCTTGGAATGGAATGGGACCAGCCTGAGGCCCTGGAGAGGGTGAGAAGTCACTAAGAGTTGAGTTTTCCAAGGCTTCTGGGTGCCAGTGAGGCAGAACAGGGCTAACAGCAGAGAGGTCTCTGAGGTAGAATCTCGAGCTTTGTCGCTTGAGCCAGACTGCTTACAGCTCAGTTGGGAGACCCTGTGCAAAATCTGTTGGCTGCTGAGCACACACCCCTACCTCCTGTCACCTAGTCTCTTTTATCTGGACACTCAGGCCACCCCTGCCTTTATCCTGGACTTGTCCTATTTGGATCTAGTTGGAGGAATGAGAGGTGTTTTTAGGAAAAGAGAATAAGCATCAATTGAAAAAAAAAATTTGGAGCCAGATGCAAAATTGAATGTAAAACTGACAGCTCCCTTTGTTGTCGGTTGTAGTCGTCAGAAGCATGGACACCAAACAAAGGAGGAGTCGGAGTCGCCATGTGGAGCAGGGTCTCACGGCTCACAGGGTTGTGTTCTGGTTGCTGGGAGAGGGACTAGGACAAAGCAATGGGGATACAGAGGTGGGACTCGGCCCATTTTTTCATCAATGCAGGAAGTAATATGGAAATCTGATGTGCTGGGTGGAGATGACATTAAATAATAACTGTGGAAGAGGTTTGTTGGCTATATGACTGCACATGACTGCACAAGGGACTTGGATGGGGCAAGGGCTTTGTTCCTTTGAGCATAGAAGGTCTAGGACAAATAGCACCGCTGGGCAGCTTTGTGCCACAGTGAGAAGTGGGAATTGCTCCTGTGTGGAGTGCTCTGCTCATTATCTGCATATTCCAAGGGTGTCGAGGCCCGTCCTCCACATCCTTCCAGTCCCTTCTGCCAAGCTTTACAAATTTTATCCAGACTTGAAGCAGCACTCCTGACTGATCTCCTAGTCTGCTCTGACTTCAGAGTGCCTAAAGGGCTACAGGGACGCTAGGGAGTTGAGCGCTGACCCAAGGCTTCATAGCACTGCGGGCAATAGCTGAAGCCCCGGAGTGTGCCCTGGGCCATTGAAAGGCTATGGGGTGGGGGTGAAAATGAGTTCCTGTGATATTAGCTATGCTGGCCAGGGGGAGAGGGATGCTTTCTGGAGAGCAGGCAGGTCATTCTGAGGCCAAAATAAAAGAAAAAAAAAATCTGAACTAGAGCCCATTCCTTCTCCCAGAGCCCCATGGATTGAGCTAAACCCCAGTTCAGGATAGTCCATGAGGGACTGGGTATACTGTAGGACCACAGGTGTGCCTGAGTGGACTTGTTAGTACTGGGATTTGGTCTGGAGTTAAGGACAGGGTCAATCTGTGATGAGGATTAAGGGTCAGTCTAGGATTTGGCTCAAGGGGGTCTGTTTTAGGTTCAGGGCAGGGTTTGGATCAGACTGAGGACTGGATCAGGGCATATCAGAAGTCCACCTGAGGCTGATGAAAGAATATTCTTCAATGAGATGGAACTGGCAAAGATGGTGGCTGGCCTTGCTCTGACCTAGTCACCCTCTTGAGCCTACTCCAAAATCCTGGCACTCTCTACATGCCTCCAGGAAGCCTTACAGAATTGGGGTACCAGGGCTTTCCTTTTCTTTTTTCCTAAGTGAGTACTCCTTGGGATTTGAGCAGAACGATAGTTTCAATTAGGTCATGCAGCAACTATTGCTGGGGGCTGCAAGTCCCTGTGGATATTCCCTAGGACCCCACTTGGCAGTTGCGCAAAAGAAAGACTCAAAAATGACACCCCATGCCCCCTCCCAACTCCTTCTCCATACCTGAACAGGAAGAGAGGCCAGATGATGGATGGCAAAAGAAAGTTCACAAAAGCCAATCCTGGGAGTTGTTAGAGTCTGTAAACAAGTCTGGATGGGAGTAAGGGAATGGAGGGAGGCCATGGGCGGGTGTGACTTGTGGGACTTTGATCCTGGCAAAGTGGACACCTCTTATGGACTCTTGGGTTGGTGGCAGGGAAGTAGGTGTTTTGTGGCTCGGTGGACAAGGATCCTGTGTGTGTATGTGCCTTTGTGTGTGCTCCATATCTGCCTGTGCATGTTTGTATCTCTCTGTAGGGCTGTGTTCAGGTCCAGCTGTTTGGAGATGGCTATCTCCACTGAGAGTTCCCCAGGGTCATCTTGCCCATCTCACCACCTCAGGCTAGTGCCAGGAATCTGGATGCTTAAGGTTCTTCCAGAGGGCAGGACTTCAACAATCTCCCTCAGCTCCATTTTATCCCAGCTTCTTTCTATGACAGGAAATGGGATAGAACTGTTGAATCTGGCTTCATTACATCTGGGTTGCCCTGATTAAGGGTCAGTCTAGGATTTGGCTCAGGGGGTCTGTTTTAGGTTCAGGGCAGGGTTTGGATCAGACTGAGGACTGGATCAGGGCATATCAGAAGTCCACCTGAGGCTGATGAGAGAATATTCTTCGATGAGATCGCACTGGCAAAGATGGTGGCTGGCCTTGCTCTGACCTAGTCACCCTCTTGAGCCTATTCCACAATCCTGGCACTCTCTACATTGCCTCCAGGAAGCCTTACAGAATTGGGGTACCAGGGCTTTCCTTTTCTTTTTTCCTAAGTGAGTACTCCTTGGGATTTGAGCAGAACGATGGTTTCAATTAGGTCAATTAGCTAGAACCTTCTCTAGCTCTCTAGCCCTAGCTCTCTAGCTCTCTGTCTCTGGGGCCACAGTGATGCTGACAAGGACTTTGTGAGTGTCCGGGCCCCTAACGGCCTGGGGGTGGGGAAAGCAGAGTCTGAGGACACTGAGGCGGGAGCTCTTTTGGAGCCTACACACAGGTCCATGGGAGCTGATCTCTCCCAAGGAAAGGCAGTTCAGGAAAGGGGAAGCGGGAATTGCTTCCTCTGAATCTGTAGTACTGTAACTGTCCACCAGGTGGGGTTCCAGGGCAGAGAGTGAGAGCCGAGTTGACCCAGCGCTTGTAGCAAGAGCCCTGCTCCAGGATCTCTTCTGGCAGCATCAACCTCTGAAGCGCTCACTCTGAGAGGGACAACACATTTGCGCTCATCTTAGACGCTCATGCACATTCTTTCCTAGGGAATTCTAAAGAAGAATAAGTCCTGGGTGCAGAAGAGGTGTTAAAAAGGGAGGTTAATTGGTTTACATGCACAGTACCCTAAACTAAAGGTGGGATGTCTAGTCTTTCTCTGGGAGTGAACAACAGAGACACAGGGGCTAAGGGAAACAGGACGCGCGCGAGAGGGAGAGTCAGTCACTAGCCAGATGTCGGGATTGGTGTGCAGAGTTCCATCGTAGGCTCTCAGGAGGAGAGGCCAGCTGACGGATAGATGGATGGAGGCAGAGACAAACATACAGTACCAGAGAGAACAAACCTGCACACACATCACATTGCTCCACCGACGTGGGGCCGACGCAGGGTGGACACAGTCGCCCGCACACACAGGTGCGGCCACGGGCCACACGCACACCTCACACAGGCACGCGCACCAGGCCTTCTGCGGCTGGAGCTGAGAAGGTGGCCGCGCTCACCCGGCTTGTTTATTTACTTATTTATATCACTGAATGTCGGTACCGAACTCCTCCCGCCTCCTGGTGCCGGGCCGCTTTATTTGTCCCTGGAGAGAGACACTCCTTGGGATCAGCATTGGGGTTCCTCTGATGCTGCCAGCAGTGGAAGGAACCACGAAGTGTGTGTATGGGTGTGTGTGTATGGGTGTGTGTGTGTGTGTGTGTATGTATGTAGCTCGGAGGTGTTGGAGGGAAGGGCTGCAGCGTCAGGATCCCTGAACGCTCAAGGGGTCAAGGAAACCTTCAAATTCTGTAGTATAATAGACTTCTGAGGGAAGGGGGACCTTGGCATCTGAGGTTTGGGGATGTAGGGATCAGGCATGGGGTCCCGGGCTGGAGACAATTGAGAGTGCCAAGTCAGGGGTCCTAGGAAGCAGGAGCCCGGGAGGTCCCGCAGGAGAGGAGCGTGGGACCCTGGACGCGGGTTCTGGGACTTCTGGCGCCCTCCAGTCGAAGGGTAACCTGGCCGGGACCTCCGGTGCTGGGGCTACGGCGCACGCGGGACTACTGCCTGAAGCAGGAGGGGGCCGGGGACCCGGGAGGGAGGAAAAGTGGGAGGGAAGTAGCCTAGCAGCCAAGCGGGCACTAAGTGAGTGCGCACCGTGAGTGTGTGTGTGTATGTGTGCGTGTGAGTGTATGCGCGCGCGCGCGCGTGTCTCATCTCGTCCGTCTGTAGGTGCCCGGCTAAGCGAAACGCTGCGAGAAGGAAGAGAAGGCGAGAGGTGAACTGAGTTTGATCCTGCGGCTGCTACAAGTGGGTCCTGCGCGGACGGCGGGCGGCGGGCGGCTGGCGGCGGGCTGCGGGGCGGGGCGGGAGGCCGGCGGGCGCTCACACGCTCCGGCCGCGGGCCCGGCCTCTCACCACGCCTCCGGCTTTGTGAGCGCGCGGGAGGGGGGGTGCTGGCGGAGTGCCCACGGCGGGCGCAGCCTCCCGCCTCTATATAAACACACGCATCGCCTCGCTTTGGCCTCAAATTCACATTGAGAGACGCTTTTAAAACCATCAGCCCTGAAATCCTGCTTTCTGCTTTCCCTCCTCTTTCATTCCTTTTGCCTTCCTTTCTTTTTTCCCCCTTTCTTCCCTCAGCAGCAACTCCAGAGCCGAGAGACTGCGTCCCCGGACGGACTGCCTTTTCTTAATTGATACAATAGCCCAGCTCGGGTTTTCCACCTCCTCCCCCAACCCCACCCCGCCTCACCCCTCCCGCCCGCCCGCCGTCGCCGCCGCCCCAGCGCCCGCCCGGGGCTCTGTCGCCGGCTGCGGCCCGTCCCGGCTGCGGCTCGCCGGCTCCGCACCCGCGCTCGGGCCGCTGCGCCCGCCTCGCTGCTTCGCCCTCTGCGCCCGCCTCGGGGTGCCGCGGCGGTTCCCGGGCTCCGGCGCGTCGCCGAGGCAGCCCAGGGACGCTGGGCTCCGGCCTCTCCACTCGCCTCAGCTGGGGAGCTTTCTCCCTCGACCCCAGAGTTTCTGGGTTCGTTGGAATTTTTGAATTCAGAATTTTTTCTTTTCACCTAGGAATTTTTTGAATACTTTTGACAAATCGATCGCATTTCCGCTAGCTCTCTGTTCCCCTTCTTCTTTTTTTTTTTTCCCGAGCAGGGGAAGGGGCTTAAGAGAGGCTCCCGCTGGATAAAGTTTTCCAAAGTTTTCCGAGTGTGATGGTTGCGGAGAGATCAAATCCACCAGCTTGACTCACGGCTTCATCTCACCACCCCTTGAGCAGCCCCTAAGCCCGCTGTAAAGGAACAAACAAACAAACAAACAAACAAAGTTACACCCCGAGTCGCCTCGTGTCTCCTCTCTTCTTTTAGGCAATCTTCCCCCCCACCCCACCTCTCTCCGCTCCCCTTGCAGCCTCCACTCCCCTTCCCTCTGTCTCTGTTTCGGCTGGAGGTGCCAGGACCCCCGGCCGCAGCCTCCCCTCCCCCGCCGCTCCGGTCAGGCCCTCCCCTCCCCCGTCGCGGCCGGCACAGCCAATCCCCCGAGCGGCCGCCAACATGCTCTTTGAGGGCTTGGAGCTGGTGTCGGCGCTGGCCACCCTCGCCGCGTGCCTGGTGTCCGTGACGCTGCTGCTGGCCGTGTCGCAGCAGCTGTGGCAGCTGCGCTGGGCTGCTACCCGCGACAAGAGCTGCAAGCTGCCCATCCCCAAGGGCTCCATGGGCTTCCCGCTCATCGGAGAGACCGGCCACTGGCTGTTACAGGTAAGGGCGCACTCGCTCTGCTGCTCTACGGGGTCCGCTTGCTGCGAGCGCGGGACCGACCTAGCCGCGGGCAGGCCACGGGGAACGGGAGTTTGAAGGCACAGGTCTCCGCCCCGCCCCTTCCCTTCTCTCAGCCTGAGCCTCCCGGGTTTTCCCTGCCCGCCAGCGGCGTGGCTCCGAGACCTTTGGCGCCCGGTGCGCTGGTTCGGAGGACTGATAAAAAGGGTTCCAGGACCCGAAGTGACTCCCAGGACCGACCTGCCTCTGTTGCTGGCGACCGAGCAGGGGCGCGTGGAGAGGCCTGGAGACTCCGCGCTCAGCGCGCGTTCGAAGGGGCGTCCAGACAGACGTGAGCCGCTTTCGCCTCTTCATTGCGCTCCAGGTCCCGGTCGGCGTCAGCCGTTCTGGGTGTTAGCAGTGTAGCTGGGAACCAAAAACTTGAGTCCAGAGGGGAGGAGGGGAACATAGCATCTTGAATTGCCCTCTTAGACCCGGGCTGTGTTCCTGCCGCTTAGCCAGGTAGTTCTTGGTCCTCGCTACTGTGTGTGTTTTGTGGTGGGAGAAGAAGAAGGTAACCCAAGAAAAATGAGAGGCTAGAATCTCAAGGGCTCTCGACTTTCGGGGAAAAGGGTCTATTTACTTATTGGGTGTGGACAGTTCAGCAGGAGAAAGAAACTTGGGAGAAGTGAGTGGGAGAGTTTGCTCTTAGAGGCTACACAGTCCCCGCTCTGGTGGTGATAATTGGGGTGGGGAGCGTCGAAGACCAGACCCAGGTAGGTAATGGAGAGATTAACCTGGAGTTAACCTTGTCAAATGACAGACAATCGGTTTTGCAATTTGATACACACCAGGGTTTTTTGGGGGGGAGGGGCGGGGGTACACCTCTGAGATATCCGCTGGAGGGGTGTTTGAGTATACGTATGTACCCATGTTTGTCCACTGGGTGCTAATGGGCCTTAGGGGAATCCTGGAATCCTGAAACAGACAACCCTGGCGCAGGAAAGATGAAGCTGAAGGTGAGCGCGGGGACCTGTAGGTTTAGACGTGCGAAAGCTTGGCTTGACATTAACAGACGCGTGTAATTTTCGCACGCGCGCGCACACACATATATATACACACACTCTGCACGCTCTGAACCAAGTGACAGCAGAGCGTTAGTGGAGACAGGCGGGGGAGAGGTTCCTTTACCCTGTGGTCTCTGAATATCGCAAGGTTGGTCCCACTCTTATTTGGGGGAGGAATGTCCGTCCAATGGGGTGGGGTTCACTTGAGCCAATCAGATTGTCTCCCATAAGAAATCCCCAGAACTTCCCCCTTAGGACCACACTTAAAGGGTTAACTGCGGCGGTGGTCTAGGCTTTTGGCCGAGAATTTAGAAAATAAAATAATTCATGTGGGCAATGGCTTCCTCCTTGTTAGATCCAATTTGTGGAATCAGCCCTCCCCCATCTCGTTTACTGACCCCCCCCCCAACCACCCCGGGCTTGGTGTCCCCTTGACCTTTTTTCCCCCCTGAATCCTACAAAGGCCCTTGGGATATGCGTCCAACCCGCACAGAGTTGGGGAGAAGGACCTGCGCCTCACCATCCATGCGTCCCAGGGCCCTAGATCCCGTGGGATGAGGAATAAAGGGGTGCGTGTTGGGAGGTGCTGAAGGGGTTAATGGGAGCCCTCTGAATCCCAGCGTTTTTTCGGAGTCATTTATCAGATTTTACGGGGGGACCTCCAAGGGCTCTCCTTTTCCACCGAGCGCCATCTAAACAGAGCCCAGGGCTAAAAATACAACATTTTTGTATAAATTGGACTCGCGGCCCGAGCGGCCGCCCCTATGAAAGTCCTCTTTGTGAAGACCGTGGAAACGGCGGACAAATAACTCTTTATTAATGCCACAAAAAAACGCACTTTAATTATAGTTAGGCAGATCAGAGGCGGGGGGTGGGGGCGAGGCGGCGGGCGACCTCGAAATATTCACAGCCCAACTTTTGTGTCAAAAGAAAAGAAAAATAGAAGAAGGAGAGACGGAGAGTCAGACCGAGCGAGGGATGCGGAATAGCAGACGGAGGAAGGGAACCCCGCTCTTCATCCCCTCCTCTGTCGCACCCTACCTCCGCCTTGATTTTTCTTAAAGGGGTAGAGGCCGTCTACAAAGGCGTCACGGTGTGTGTGTGTGTGTGTGTGTGTGTGTGTGTGTGTGTGTGTTGGGGGTTGGTTCTCTCGACCCACCAGCCTGGGAGCAGGACAGCGTCCCCCGCGGCCGGGCCCCCTTCTTGGCAGCTCAGGAGCTGCCGACTAGCTCCCTGTCGCGCGCTGGGGCTGGAGGCGCATGTGGAAAAGTGATTAGGGATCCGAGTTCTGCAGAGTCACTTTTCGCTGCGCTAACGTGTGTACACGTCTAGCTGGAGAATAGCTTTCCTTGGAAGGAAGGAAAATGAGGAGGGGGACCAACCCGGGAAAGGGGTAGCCAAGTTGTCCCGTCGGGGAATAATGAGCCGGTAGGTCTATAAGTCTGTTAGCGGGCTGGAAGAGAGGCTGGACAGGTAGCGCCCCTCCCCTTTTCACCCGGAGCTGCCCAGGCAGGAGAAGGGTTAATTTGGGCTGTGGTGGCGAGCGCCGACGTCAAAGGTGAGCGAGACGCCCCTGCCCGCGCCCCTGTGAGGTCCCCTAGGTTTCCGGTACCCGCGCGCGGCGGGCTCCTCCAGCTCTTTCGAGCGCTGGTCCCGGACCGGGGCCCCGCAATCCTCGGCTCGCGCCACAGCCGCCGCCGTCGGGATCCGGTTACCTGCCCGGGTCGCCCCGCCCGGTCCCACCCCGCCCAGCGGGAAGCGCCTTCCGCCGCTCTCCCTTTCCAAACTCCAGGGCGGCGACGAAAGTCCGTCTCAGTTATTTCCAGGGCAAAATGCTTTAGGAAAATCGCGGCTCACGGCCCGTAACTCCACCCTGAAGAGCCCGCGGAGGGCTGCAGGGTCCCTGCGCGGGCCACACCGGAGAACAGCGGAAACTCCAATCCCAGTCTCTAGTGACTGCCTCCGGGCACCGACCGCTCACCGCTATAAATAATCTTTGGCCTGCGGCCACCCCGCGGGGTCTCGCCAGCTCGTGGCCCGGAGCCTGGAAATATTTATTCCGAGAGGCTCCCGAGCGCGGAGTGGCGGGGGTGGTGGTGGGGCGGAGGATTGAGGAGTGGGGGGCGGAGGCTTTAGCTTCAGGTCCAGCCATCCGGGATACCTTTTCCCTCCCTAAAGTCATTACTAAAAAACAGCGTCCCGGGGGGTGCTCCTGGGCCTCCCGCCTCCTCGCATTATTTATTATACTCTAGGCCCTACTTCCCAGTTCTGTGCACGCTATGAAAAATAAAACCTGCATGCGTGTCTGTGTGTGTGTATGGGGTGGGGGGGTTGGGAGAGTTGGGGGGTTGGGGATGGGGGAGTTGCGGGGAGTGGGATCAGCTGCCCTGGCCGGCCTCGCAGACCTGTGAGCCCTGAGAGAGGTCTCTTGTGTGGCTCCCACAGGGTTCGGGCTTCCAGTCATCCCGAAGGGAGAAGTATGGAAACGTGTTCAAGACACACTTGCTGGGGCGCCCGCTGATCCGGGTGACCGGTGCAGAGAACGTACGCAAGATCCTCATGGGAGAGCACCACCTCGTGAGCACCGAGTGGCCGCGCAGCACGCGTATGCTGCTGGGCCCTAACACGGTGGCCAACTCCATTGGCGACATTCACCGCAACAAGCGCAAGGTAAGAGCTCTGATTGTTTTCGTCTACATCTCAGGAGTTCACGGAGCCAGCCTAGGAGCATCCCAACTCAAATCTGCACTTTCTTTTGTGCATGATGCTTCAGGACTCCGCAGTTCTCTCCCTAGACGGCTTTCAGCCTGAATCCAGGGCCTATGGAGGCCTTCTTCTGGTCCACTCTCTTGCTGGCCTACTGCGCGGCGGGCACCACCAGGCCCACGGGGGCTTGTTTGAGGGCAGTTTGGACAAACTTTGAACGTTTGAGATCAGGGAGTCCAATGCCTATCCTAGCAGTGCTCCACAGAACTAGAAAAAGAAGGGGGCGGGGCGGGACAGTTGGCCTGCGCTTTCCTTTTCTCCGCTTTTCCTCCGAGAATTGCAAGGACTGATCATTCTAAAAATCAAACCTGGCCCTCCAGCCACAGGTAGCCTTGAGGTCGATGCAAGCATGTGATGTGCAGGGGGAGCTGGGGACAACATGTGGGCAGCGGTTAGCGGGCCTTGCCAGGGAGAGGTACTGTGAGCTTTGGGCCCCTGAGCGCACCTTTAACCGTAGGGGAAAGGAGAGGGGTGGGAGAATAGCCTGGGAGCGGGCTGAGGATCAAAGTGCCCCTACCCCCAGTTTAAAGAGGAAGAGAAAGTGGGTGTTTATCCTGTGGATTTCCCGAGCGACTGAAAGAGGCGCAGAGGAGGAGAGCCAGCGCTCACTGAGCAAGCCTCCCCGCCCCCTCCCAGAGCTGCGCGGCCACCGCAGCGGCTGCGGCTCTGAGCGCGGGCGGCACGTGCTATTTGAACTGCAGTAACCCGTAAGCTGAGCCGGCGGGCGGGCGGGGCGCCGGCCTGCGGCTTGAAGCCGCCAAAAGGGAGGCTGCATGGCTCCCCCACTCCGTTTTTTCCATTGGGTCAGAGGAATCACCCAAGTTTGGAACCTAAAGGAAAGGAAGAGGCGGCCTCTCATTCCCGAAGGAGTGGGGGAGCGCGGGAGAGGGGAGGGGCAACCCCCACCGCCAGCAGCCTGTGTGCGAGGTGGTCTCCCTGAATGTGGGCAATTGTGCTGTACTCGCAGACACAGCCCATAGTATTTGATGTTCTCTGAACCGCCTGTGAAGAGTAATTCTCCGTGGCAGACAACCGAAGGAAAAATCCAGCGGAGGAGTCTGGTGTGCATGTAACCCCAAGAGTCCCCCAGTAAAGCGTGTATTTCAGAATCTGGAAAGGGGCTCCCAAAGGCATCTCTCTCCCATCTGCTTTACTCAGAGCTGGAAGCAGTTAACTGCAGCTTGGGGACAAATGTGGGGAGGTTCTGGGAGGGGGGCTGTGAGGTGTTCTGGAGAGTGTTGGGGAGGGGAAGGGGGCTATAGGCTTAGAAATGCAGGTTTTTCAAATGTGGACAGTGATTTTTTTTTCCTCCTTAGTTTCTGAGTCTCCACTAAAAGCCCATTCCAGAGAATGAGGAGAGAGCTGAGACTCAGGAATAAGTCTGAGATATAAGTCTGCTTCATTTCCTCTTTGTAGGGGTTTGATGCAAAGTGGGACCCTGAGACTTAGGTAGAGCAGGAGGTGAACCAGGTCAAGCAGCAAAGAAATAGCAGGGCAAGGTCTGCAACACAAGTAGTCCTGCTCAGTCCTGCCCATTTGGGGCTGCTGGAAGCTGAGGTGGGGCTAGGTTACTGGGAAGAAGGAGGAGGCTTGATCAGGACCCAGTGTGAGACCCCAGGGGTTACAGCAAGGCTTTCTGATGGCCCTGTTGCCTTGGAGTCCCACCTCTATCTGTCTGACTTGGCTTTGAACCTCCAGTGCTAGGTGGAGAAGGCATACCTGGAAAGACCCCAGGTTTTGGCCTACTTTGTCCGTTTGTAGGCAAGGGGACAAGAAAGAGGACAGCATAGATGAAGTGCCAGAGGAATACACAGGATAGGAAGACTGGGAATTGGGCTGGAGGTGGGGCCAGAAACTGATGACTATGGCTGAGGGATCCAAATTCTCCCTCTTCTGAGCACTTGATCCCTTAGCTTCTTAGAGAATCACTAGAAACCAGTTCATCTGAGTCTTCAGAACCACAATGCCATAATGGACTAGTTGTGTGTTTGCTATGTGGAGTGTGGCAGAACATAGCCAGACAAAAGGATCCTTTCCCCAAATCTCCATGATCGATGATCCTGAGTTTCCTGAACCACATAGAAAGCCTTGGGTCAGGTACAGAGAAGCAGGAAACTTGATCCTTGCCCTCAAGAAGGAGATTCTGACAGACAGGATAAGAGTACTCTGAGGACTTCTTTTCTGAATACCCATGTTGTCCTGGAAAGATTGGCCAGTCTTTGGGACCCAAGGCCTGGAGAGTACCATATGGCCAGGGTAGGGCTGCAGGATACCACTCACACTACTATATCTAACCCATGCAGTAGTTAGGGACCTGTCTGGAGAGTGGGTTTGCTGGGCTGGACCCTGGCCTGGTTAAGATGTACGTGCAGGAAGTGGGGCCCAGGTGTGCTGGGGCCAGGCTGGCAGGGATCTAGAAGCATCACTGTTTCCACTGGGGCTGGTGGCCCACCCCTTCTCTGGGAGGTCTGGCCAGATGTGCAGGGAGGGGGCTCCTCACTGCCATCACTGCACTCCAGGTGTTTGGCCTGGCTGCCCTGGTGGTCTGGGGCCAGCTGGGATAGGGTTGCCAGGAAGAAAGTCTTACCTGGTCTAATGGTATCATCCACAGAAGTCAGGCCTGTGCAGCTAAGACTTCAAATTTCCTCCATCCTCCTTTGGCACCCCTCCCCAGCTCAGGGTCAGGAGTATCCCTGATGGAGTATGTAGGGAGGGGTATTGCCCAGGAAGGGTAAATGGGGTCTAGTTGGACATGTGGGGGTGAGCAGGTTGTCAGAGACATGGAGAAGGAGTTCCGGGGTGGGGTTTGGGTGCCACACAACAGGATTGGGCATCTTCTCTTTTCCTCTGATGACAGGGCTGGGTCTCTTTGCACTAAGAAATTAGCAGCTTCAATGCACCCCAGAGAGTGGTCCTGAGGTACCCATAGGAGTCTTGGAGAACATCTCAGAAGATACATTTAGCCGTGAAGCCCCTGGACTGGGGACCTCAGAAGTAGTCTCCTTGTCCCTTCTACTCAGGCCCCTGCCGACAGAGCCTTCTGTGCCTGAAGCTGAGGTGGGGGAACAGGCTTTGGAGGCAGAGATCAAGAAGCACTTCCTACCCATCCACCATCCCTCACTGACCTGGCCTTTGGGTCTTGTCCTGGAATGCAGGTGGAGGTCAGGTTCAGGGACAATTCACTCTTCTCACAGTATGTCCTGGGGTTTCTGCTGGGTTTACCTAGGAGTTTCCCCAGCAGGAGGGCCTGGGATGGCAGGATTCTGGGGGAGGCCAGCCCACACCTGGCTTTGTGAGGCCTTTGTACCAATGCACAGTCTCTGGTTGCACAGTCACATCCAAATGTCTCAACAGAAGGTCCAACCTGATTATGTGGAAAGGCGGGTGGCACTGACAGGCGGCAGAGCTACTGGGAGCTGTGCCCTAGTTGCCTAGTGTTGGCACAGAGCCTTTATTCTGCCAGCCAAAGTCCTTCACCCAAAAGTTACTGTAGCACCAGTGCATAGGGTGCATAGGGCTGCTGAGTGGGCGGGTGGCAGGAGCGGATCCCTCTGAAGGTCAGTGGGGGAGGAAGCTCATGGTCAGCCACCAGGGTGCCTCCCTCTGCATTCCCTTGTGCCAGGCAGTGGGCAGGTGGGCGGGCTGGGCGTGGGGGCAGCCTCCTCCTGTTTTTCCTCATTATGTCCTTCTTCCAGGGGCAGGGAGTACAAGGCTATGGTGCAGATTGATGTGTCTGCTCACTCTCCCAGCCTTGGAAGACAAATGTGGCCTTGGCTGGGGTCTGTTCTGGCACTGAGCCCCCTGTGACAGTCTCCCTATCCATCCTGGGCTCCCCAGGCCTAAAAGAAGGAACTTCTTTAGAAATGCTGACAACAACCCAGAACAACCTTAGCATGGGCCTTACCCTTAGAATAGACTGGGTCCATCGCAGAGGATCCTTTCAGATTCCTAATTTCAGAGCCCATCAGTGCTGGTAGATGGGGTCTGGAGTGGTGGGAGGCACAGGGCTTCAGGGTCCCTGCTGGGTGTGGCCAGTCATGCCCTGCACTGTGACCTTGGGAGGCCCTTCTTGTGAGTCTCAGCTTTTCAAGGGGATTTTGTTGTGGCTGGAAAGGAGGAAGAGCAAGGGGCCATCTTTTGTGATTAGGGGCTCAGCAGGTACTTGCAAATGCTGCCTCCCCTCCCCCACCACCTTGGTTGTATGTGTTGAAGAATTAGGGCAGTGGGGTGAGACCATCAGAGCTGGAGTCCAATGGGGGACAGGTACTCTGTTCCTATGGACACAGGGAAGGCACATGTGCAGGCTGGGGAGGGGGATGTCTGGGCCTACCCCTCCCAACCAGAGGTACTGAATGGGGATGGGTGCAGGGTGAAGTCTGAGCCCAGTGGAAATGCAGGCAGCTGGGAGATGACTCCGCTCTTGTCCCCCTCCTTGGATATAAAGTACACACCTTGGCGTCACCCCTGTGCGGACGGATGGCTTCCTCGGTGGCTGCCTGCCTTCTGTTATTCTTTCCACTCCATGGGCCTGGCTCTGGTGGCTTGGCCAGGTGGCTTGCCTGGGCCCCCACCCCTCCTGTGCAGCCGCTTCCATTCCTCCCAGTCTGAGTCACTGGCTGGGGCAGTGGGCTTCCTCTTCGGCTCTTATCTGCCCATCTGTTTGTCCAGGCATCTATAGCTGCCAGCAGATGAGAGAGAGGTTACCTGGTCAGATGGGGTGTGGGGTCTCACAGATCCCCCTCCCAGGGGCACTGGATGAGAAGCGGGAGGGGCAAAGAGACCTGGCGGCAGGGGAATGGTCAGGACATTTCTAGGAACAATTACAGGGAATTGAAGCCTTATCAAGCTCCAGTGGGGCCCCAGGCCCTTGTTGTGGAATTAGCTCCCCTTCCCGAGGGAGGGAGGGAGAGAGCAAGGACTTGGGCTCTTGAACTCATTGTGTTGTTAGGGACACTGGCGAGGTTTGAGGGTTATCCAAGGATATGACTTAAGGTGGGAGCCCATCCTCCCTCCTGCCCCTGTCCCCGCAGCTCCCACAGGGACACAGGGATGAGCATTCCCAAGTCTCCTGGGACCCTCTGCCCGTGCCCTCCCCCCACGCCAAGTCTGGTGCGTGGTCCATACCTGCAGCTCCCTCTGCAGAGCTCTGCCTGGACCTGGGCTGGTTCCCAGTGACCTTTGTCGGGCATTCTTGGCTCATTTTTGGGAATTCCCAGGGAAGCCCCAGAGGGAAACGAAGCAGGCCTGGCTCCGATGATGACTGTGGTCAGGCCAGTCGTCTCTGGGGGCCGGAACCCTCCTCTCTTCACATTGAGCCACTCCCGGGCACCTTCCCAGTGTGCCCGAGTCTTGACCCCAGCAGGCGGCAGCCTCAGACCCAGCCCGCCCCAACTGGGCCCAGGCCTCCCTCTGCCCTGGCGGCACCTCCGCCTCCGCCCGTCCTTTGTGGTGGGCGGTGGTTTCTGGTCTGCTCTGGCTTTGGGAAGTGGCTGTGTTGTTCACCCTGGGCACAGACCCAGGGATGAAACCCTGGAGTCTTCCCAGTTCCTGGGAGGACCCCATGCCTGTGCAACAGCTGGGCTGGAGGAGGGGCATGGACTTGGTGACCTCTGAGCAAAGCCCACCCAGGGCTGGGGTGCCTGCCACCCACCTTTGTGTGACTTCTCCACCTCAAGGGGGCTCCAAGGAAAATCGGGACAGCTGAGTATGAAAAAGACCTTGGAACATCCGGATGGCCCCCTCATAAACCAGTGGGAGAGCTAAGACCCAGGGCAGCAGGACCCTGTTGGCTGTTACTTAGCAAGCCCGAGGTTGGTCTGGACAAGAGCCCTGGACCTGGCTTCAGTTCTTTTTTCAGCGGCTCCACCTCAGAGCCTGCAGGGTACCAGGGAGCTCCTGGTCTTACTCAGGACCCCTTTCCACATCTAGGTCAAATGTGGACTTCCTTTCTTGGAGTCCCTTGCTCAGTCCCAGGTCCCTCTGGGTCCTCTGTCTTCTCGGGTTGTCAGGGCCCTCCAGGGCTCCAAAGCCAGAGGAGGTGTGATTCAGCTGGCCATCACTAGAGGGCGCAGGGAATGTAAACTAGTGGACAGACAGGACTTGTCAGTGGTCCTGTATGGCTCTTCCTCAAGGGGCAGGGGAGGCACGTCCATCCCCTTTGAAAACTCTGGGATGGCTCCTCCTGGGTCACCGTAGCTCAGTGGGATGTGAGAATGGGGGCCTAGAAGGCACTCTCTAGGTGGCTTATGCATTGTTGGGTTTGGGGCTATTTACAGGGATTAGCATCTATTTGGCAAGTGGTTATAGTGTTCAGGTGCTCTGTGGGTTGCGAAGAGGTCACTTGGTTCAGCCTCACCACTTTATAGAGAGGAAACTGAGATTTGGGACAGGGTGACTTGGCCACAGTCACATAGTAAGTTGGTGGATGATCCCTGATTACAGCTCAGGCCTCTTGGTGCCTGGTCTCTTTCCCCATCACCCCACTGTATCCTGGGACCTAGCTGGCTTTGACTTTGGCTGGTCCTGGTGCGTATAGCCTTTGCCATATCCCCCTTCCATATGCTCATTTTGGGGCCCAGGTCTTTTGGGTGATGGGGGCCCTGGCCATCTCCTACCCTTATCCCCTCCATAACAGTATCCCTAGTCTGATCAACTCTGAAAACTGTGGCTTCCAGTCCCCTCCTGCTCCACTGCCAGCTTCCCTACAGAGGCCTGGTCACTGCAAAGTTGTCCTGACTCCCAGTCTCATTTCCCAACGAGCTTGTTCACTTCTGTGCAGCACTTTCTGCACACCCCCTAGTTTCTTGGCTGTTTTGTAAGAGTCCTTAGTCAGCTAGTGTTGGGATCTTGGGGCAGAGCCCCCTCCCACCCATCAGGACCCCCTTTCCAGACTCCTAAGGACACCATAGTGAGGGCTGAGCACACAGCACTGCTTTTATTCATAATCCTCCAGGACCCCTGGAAATTCTCTGGGACCCCAAACCTGGACAGGGTGTGAGTGACTCATATAGGCCTGAGCGGACCTAGGGGACCTCCTATCATCCTTCTACTTTTCAGCTGTCCCTTTGTAGCAGGAGTGGCCCCAAACAGTGTGGGCCTCTCTGCCCCTCACTGGTCTCCCTCCCCCTCCCTCTGCCCACCGGGGAATTTCGGAATGAAAGTGCTATTGTGCTCGCCTGGCTGGGCCACTGAAGGACCAGCACTGTTATTCCTGCAAACCAGCCTCCCATTAGCCATGCAGGGCTCAGGCCAGGAAAATGTTACCTTTTCCTTCTCAAGCTGACTGCAGGGGAAATTCTCACATTTACAGTTTGTGCGGTGGTTGTGTTTGGGGGGCAGGGGGGAGGGTGTGCGCATGTGTGTGGTTTGCATGGGGCCATGGGGGCTCCTTCCTTGCACTGCCCTTCTGCTCTCTGACTTCACCTATGACCCTTCCCTAAGCTCCAGTGGGAGGCACCCGCTTCTGCTCTAGACTCTGAGGGGTTATAAGTGAGACCCACAGGCTGTCAGTAAATAAACTAACACCCTCCCTCTCCTGCATACCTGGGGCAACTGTGAGTGTATGTGTGGGGGCTGCTGAGCCAATCACGAGGCTTCAAGGCAAGGGGGGTGGAAACAGGGACTCCTTGACTACTTAAGATGGTCCTGGAAGGTGCAGGGAATTAAAAGGGCTTCTGCTTATCTTTATGATCTTTTGGGGTGGAAAGCCATTGTCCTCATTTCTGCCTCTGGACCCAGCCATACTGAAGACATTTTAATGGCACAACTATTAATAAAGACCCTAGAATTCCTGCCCAGTGGTTGTTGCATGGGAAGTGGGAATAATTTTGGTTCCCAGGAAGTTCTGCTTATACTAGAATTATGGTCCACTTGCCCTTCCATCAGGGGAGTAGGAGAGCTGTTGATTGCTCTCCTACCTCTTCCCTGTCCAGGTACTCACTCGTGACTCAATTCTGGGAATTGGGGAATGGGCCCCTGCAATGGAAGACAGCCTCCCTGCTCTAGCTCCGCTTGCCCCACCAAGGCTGGAACAGCCACATGCCCCCAGACTTTTTGGCAGCTGGACTGCAAAGTCCCCAAGGCTTTGCCATTGTGTGGAGCATGTATTTTTCTGGGGGCTGAGGAAAGAGATGATAGCCAGGTCACCCTGCGAGTTATGTGGAAGTTTCTGGCTTTGAGTAAAAATGCTTATGAATTGTGTGTTCATTTTGTCCTCCCCTGCCTGTCCCTCCCCCAGTCAAGGGAAGTAGAATGAGGTTCACATTGGGGGACCCCACAAGGGCCCTGTGTCTGGAGGCCCCTGGGGCCTCAGCAGGAGGGAGAGAGGACGGGGTGTTCCCTGGTTGTGGTCATGGGATCTGTGCCTCCACCTAGCAGTGTGAAAGCTGGTCAGCTTAGGGGCCAAGCTCACTGCCTGCCTCTCTGCCCTCCAGATCTTCTCCAAGATCTTCAGCCATGAGGCCCTGGAGAGCTACCTGCCCAAGATCCAGCTGGTGATTCAGGACACGCTGCGTGCCTGGAGCAGCCAGCCCGAGGCCATCAATGTGTACCAGGAGGCGCAGAAGCTCACCTTCCGCATGGCCATCCGGGTGCTGCTGGGCTTCAGCATCCCTGAGGAGGACCTCGGGCACCTCTTTGAGGTCTACCAGCAATTTGTAGAGAATGTCTTCTCCCTGCCTGTTGACTTGCCCTTCAGTGGCTACCGGCGGGTAAGCACCCAGGGCCTGGAAGGCCACCCTTGAAAACGGACCACTGTGACTGTGAGATGGGCACGGGGCACCAGACTCAGGGGAGAGGTGTCAGTGGGAGGGTGGGCTGGAGCCTCCCCTGGCAGTCCTGAGGCCCTGCCCTTCTTGTGGCTGACTGGCCCTTTCCCCCTCAGGGCATTCAGGCTCGGCAGATCCTACAGAAGGGGCTGGAAAAGGCCATCAGGGAGAAGCTTCAGTGCACCCAGGGCAAGGACTACTCGGATGCCCTGGACATCCTCATCGAGAGCAGCAAGGAGCACGGGAAGGAGATGACCATGCAGGAGCTGAAGGTGGGGTGGGGCGACTCCTGCAGCCCGTCCTCTGTTCTGGGGCCTCCCCTGCAATGGGTAGAAAGGCGCCTGGCCATTTCCTCCTGTTCTGGTCTGGCTCTGCACATGTGTTCTGAGCAGCTGTGGCTGCCGTTGCACCTGGGCTGGAAGGTGCTGGACAAGAAGCCGAGCTGTGTCCTTGCCCACCCGGCTGTGAAGGATACAGTGGGGCCACCCTGTCTGCCCACAGCAGCAGAGGGCTCAGGGCTGTGCACACCTCCGATGTACCCATAGTCACATCTACCATTTTTTAAGAGGATGCTGGAAATTGGTGCTTAGGCAGTGGGTTGTGGACGACACCTTATCCCCACAGAACCTCCCCCGCACCAAGTTCATTATCTCAGTTCATTTCATGGCCACCAAAGGAAACACAGGTCTAGAGAGGAAACCACTTGCTTGAGGCCAGCATCAGCCTTGGGGGAGATTTGGTTCTTACTTGGGCTCTCCTCCAACCCCCAAGACTTCTCCAGTGGGTGACCCTTTGAGCTCTCTTCCTTTACACCTGCCTAAGCCTCGCTGGCCTGCAGTCACCTGAACTGCTCACTCTGGACCCCGTGCACAGCTTCCCTGCACTGTCTGGGGTGTTCCACCTGAGGAATGTCCCCAGACTCTGCTCACCTGCTCACTTGCCACATGCCACAGACACCCTTCCCCATGCTCTTTCATCCCCTGTTCTTGCCCCAGCTTTTTCCTTAGGAGGAAGGAAGAGGTCACAATCACTTTCCCATTTCACAAGTTTTCATGCCATGGCAAGTAAAGGACCCAGGCCCCTTCACCACCCCTCTGGGCCCAGCATCCAGATTTGTAAATGCAGGCTTCAGAATGAAGTGGCCTGTGGGGACTTTTCTGTGGAGCCCCATGGCCCTGAAGCCCCTCTGGGGCCACCTCCCCTCAGTCTTCCTACTGTAGTCCTCTTCCAGGTCTTCAAGGATATGGTCCCAGGCAGCCTCCAGACCCTGTCTGCCCTTCTGGCCACTAACAGGTGTCCCACTTCCAGGGATGAAGGAAGGAGCCAGAGCCAGGAATAGGAAGGCCAGGGCTTGGACCCCATTATCTGCCATGTGCATGGTGCCCGGCTCTTCTTCTGTGAGCTCATAGCACTGACTAGGCCTGTTGCTACTGGCCCAGGAATCCAGCAGTGAGTGGAAAGTGGCCCTAACCTAAGGATTCAACTGGCTAGTGTTTCTGCCCTGGGTGGCAGCCGGGTGTCTCCTGCCCAGCCAAGAACTAGCTGTGACCCCTGTGTCCACGGCAGTCCTAAGTTTCCAGCATATGAGGCTCAGGGCAGCAGTGCAGGGCCCAGTGCAGATGACCCTGTGTACTGGGGACCCTGGCACCATGGGGCTGCCCTGCTTGGCTGGTCCCAGATGGCCAACAGCACCTTTCCTCTCTGCTGCTGCAGGATGGGACCCTGGAGCTGATCTTCGCGGCCTATGCCACCACGGCCAGTGCCAGTACCTCACTTATCATGCAGCTGCTGAAGCACCCTGCCGTCCTGGAGAAGCTGCGGGAGGAGCTGCGGGCCCAGGGCATCCTGCACAGTGGCGGCTGCCTCTGTGAGGGCACCCTGCGCCTGGACACGCTCAGCGGGCTGCGCTACCTGGACTGTGTCATCAAGGAGGTCATGCGTCTGTTCACGCCCATTTCTGGCGGCTACCGCACCGTGCTCCAGACCTTCGAGCTAGATGTGAGGCTGGGCCCGGGGTGATGGCTGGGATTCAAGCTGACTCATAAGAAAGGACCCCTCTGTACCTCAGTCTGATGGGGAGACAGTGATTGATTTCAGGGAGCTTTCAGGCAGGGGAGAGACACAGCCCCAAATGCAGAGTGGGGAGAAGCCAACCTGGTGTCATGGAACCGCCTGTGGCGTGTACACACAGGGGAGTAGACCCGCATGCTGAGCGGGCCAGTCCTGGGGAGCCCCGGGGGTGGGGGAGATTTCTCTAGGAAGAGGCAGGTCTTGAGCACCTGGGATGGGGAAAGGCAGCTGGGCACTCCTGGGCCCTCCCTCGGCCTCGTCCGGTGCTCACACCCCTCTCCCCGACCCCATCTTGCTCCAGGGCTTCCAGATTCCCAAAGGCTGGAGTGTTATGTACAGCATCCGGGATACCCATGACACGGCACCTGTGTTCAAAGATGTGAACGTGTTTGACCCCGACCGCTTCAGTCAGGCGCGAAGTGAGGACAAGGATGGCCGCTTCCATTACCTCCCATTTGGTGGCGGGGTCCGGACCTGCCTGGGCAAGCACCTGGCCAAGCTGTTTCTGAAGGTGCTGGCGGTGGAGCTGGCCAGCACCAGCCGCTTTGAGCTGGCCACCCGGACCTTCCCCCGCATCACCTTAGTCCCTGTCCTGCACCCCGTGGATGGCCTCAGTGTCAAGTTCTTTGGCCTGGACTCCAACCAGAACAAGATTCTGCCCGAGACGGAGGCTATGCTGAGTGCCACCGTCTAGCAGAGCTCAGGCCCATGCGCACCTCCACCCAACCCAGCAGAGGGGGTGGGGTGACAGAAGTAGAAACCTGTGTGTAGGAGGGGGCTGGAACCTGGGAGGGCCAGTGGCCCCCATACTTTCCTCCCCCAGGCACCTCTCCTTGGAAAACCCTACCGAAAGCCAAAAGGGTCCCGTTCTTTCAGAGGACCCGGCTCCCCTCCTGGCTCCTGCTCTCTCCAGAGTCCCCCCACTTCCCACCAGCTTAGCTCTTGGGAAAGGGCCTGGCTGGGCTCTGCATGCCCGTTACAGTGTTAAGTGTCAGTTGGCTGTGCTGCAGTGTACCTGTGACCTGAACTGGTTCCCTCCTTTGTCTTTTAGTTGGCGGCCAGGTGGTTGTGCTGGGGGAGGGAGGAAAAAAGGCCCCCGCCCTGTGCTCTCTTCAGCACCCCACTCCACTGCTCAGACAGTGCTCCTCCTGCTGTGGCTGGCGAAGAACAGCATCCTGGGTAATCCAACACAAGTGCACCTGAGCTGGGAGGGGTTGCCACCAGCCTAGAGGGCACCTCCTACCCAGCCCTGCCAGTTTGGACATTTGAAATTACCTATTGCTGCTACTAGTTCTCTTCTCGCCTTGGGGCACAGGAGCCCCAGGCCTGATCCCCAGCATTCTCCCTGGTGCCCCTGGGCAGGTGCACTGACATCCCTACCCTTCTCCCAGGCGGGACCCCACTGAGCCAGGCACTCCCTGCTCTACATACCAAACGGAGGCCCTGGGCTTATCCCTTGCTCATACCTGCCCTCCTCCATAGTCTGTATTTATTCACTGATCTTGGCCATACTGATATCTGGAGCAAATGTCTTCTCCACCTAGCCTCCATGCCATCTGTCCTCCTCAGGACTTCTGTGAATGAAGAGGAAGGGGTCTTTAGTCAAACCCAGCTCCTCTACCCTTTCCCCCAGCCAAGAGCTGAACAGCCTTCTGTGCTCCAAATTAACTTCAGAGCCTCACTCTCGGCTAAAATCCAGTGTCTGCCTGTTGTCACCTGGTAGAGATGGGGAACTAGCCCATTGCCGCCTCCTGTCCTGTCAAAAGTTCTGATCGTGTAGATTTGGAGGCTACCACAATCTCTTACTTGGCCACTGTTCACCCCAGTGCCCCCCAACTCCACTAATGAGTATGGGGCAGGATACGGGTTCTTCTGACGGAGCTTGAGGCCTCCGTCTTCCTTTCCTTAACCCTTACCCTTTGACCTTAGCCCTTGGGAAGGTGACCTTGAAGTCCCTTCCACCTCTATGCCAAGCCACTGTCTGCTTAAGCCCAGCTCAGGGGTGTGGGGAGGAGGAGGAGGCAAAAGCAAGAGGGGAGGAGGAGAAACTTCCCCAGAGCTGATTCAGGCTCTTGAGGGGCCTGGAGGCCCAGGGGGGAGGCTGAGCAGAGCTGAGGAGGAGGGTAAGTGCCATTTGTCAGAAGGGATTTGGTTGTGGATGGGCCAGTTGGGATGACCGGATAGAGGAGGAGTCGCTCCCGCCACTGGTGTTTTGAGCATTGGCAATTGGGATGCCTCCTGGGAGTGGTTTTGAGGGCCTTTGGTGAGTCTCTAAGCAAATTTGTCTGTTTTCAGAATTTTCATTGCTTTTTGTGTTTTCCTTTTGCTTTTTGATGTTATAAAAGCAATGAATCCTCTTTAGTGCAAAAAACAAAACAAAAACAAAACAACCCAAAAGAAAGTAGCACATGAGGATCCCCCAACTGCCAGGCTGAGCAGCTCAGTGACAGTGGCTCTTGGTGACTAGTGGGCAGACCCACGAAAGACCCCACTCACATCTCCCCAAAGGGATCCTGATCAGGGTTGGGGGTCACACCACACAGAATGTCCTATAATTGCCGATTCCCAAATGTTTCATGTTTTTTTTTTTTTTTCACTACTAAAAAATCAGTGTGGGACAGACATAGTGGCAGAGATGGTGAGATTTTTTTTTTAGCAAAATCCCTCAGTCCCCTCTTCCAATTCTAAAAAAAAAAAAAAACAGGCCAAAATGTGTAAAGACTCACCAGAGCTTGCAGAAGAGCTCTCTGATGGTGCATCAGAATCTGTTATCCACAAAAGAGACCACTGTCTGGAAGGTTCAGTTTCCTTCCAGTTGATCCCACTTGCCCTGAACCGATGGTTTCAGACTGAATGTCTGGGAGTGTGCAAGTCTGGCCCTGGCGAGGGGCAGGGGGCTGCAGGGTTCTGGAAGGCCTCAGTGGCCTTCCCTTGGGGGGCCAGCCTGGGAGGAGGTGGAGAAGGAAATGCTGAGGGGGATCCCTGGGAGGAAGCAAGCAAGGAAGGATCATTTGCCCCACTGGGTCTCAAAGGAACAGGCAGAGGAGGGAGGAAAGCTCTTGACTGGCCCACAGGACAGGTTGCCCCCTGTCACCACGTCTCCGTCTCTCCTCTGTAGCTCTGTGTCCGGGTGTCCGTGCCCCTGTGTATGTATGTGTGTTTTATTGAGGTAGCATTAGATGGGTGATGTTTTCTCACTTACCATTCCTAACTATTGTAACTTGACATTAAAAAGACAAAACCCCACAAAACTCTCCTTGCCACAGGCTTGCAGATTGAAGCACTTTCGATGTTGGGCGCTGGCGTTTGTGTTCTGGGCACCATCCTGACCCTGCCCAGATCGCTATAATATTATTTTATACACAAAACTTTTTTTTTTCGTAAATGTTATAATTTTGTGTCTGTCTTTATAAACTATTATAAGTACTATTTTTGTTATAATTCAAAATAGATATTTAGTATAAAGTTTTTGCTGTTAAATATTTGTTATTTAGTAAAATATGAATTTTTCTCTATTGTAAACATGGTTCAAAATATTAATATGTTTTTATCACAATTGTTTTAATATTGAGAAAGCACTTGTGTGTGTTGTTTGGATATGGAACTGGTGCCGTGTGCGTGTTTTGCCGTCATGTGGTTTTAATCTGTATATAATATTCCATGTAGCATATTAAAAAAATGAATGTTGTGCATTTTGTGATTTTGGAAATACTCAATGTGGCTCTTTTATAGGCTTCCATAATAAACCGTGGGGACTCACCCTTGTCTCCTTTGCCTCTGGTCTCTGACTTCTAGCCTCACTGAAATGGGCCTCCCAGTCCAACTAGGCAGGAAGTTCCTTTCTAGATCCTCTGTTCTGGGAGGCCAGCCCCCTGTTCCTTGCGTGTAGGGCACAGAAGTCTGTGGCAGGGTCTTGGGAGAAGTAGGTTCCCCTAGAGAGGAAAAGATGTCTCTGGTTGGTTTTTTGGGGAGGGGATGGCAAAGCTAGGAGGTCATTCTCCTGACCTAGAACGGCCAGGTGTCTCTGGGCTGGACATGGCTCTGTGGACCTGTCCTTGGAGTTCATCTTGTTTGAGCAAGGACACTGATGTCCATAGCCATGTGGCAAACAGAGGAACAGGATTCCATTCTCCAGACTTGAGCTTTGGGCTCCATATCAGCACTTCAGAAAGCCTGTGTTATGATTGTTGCAGGATCAAATAGATCCCATGATCAAATACCTGGGAAATGGGCTAAAGAAGATAGGCAGGCTCTTGTATTGCAGGACCTCTCTGAGCTTTGAGGCTCTCTAACGGGCAGAACACGTTCAGGGGACATAGGTTGTAGAATTCTACAAGCCTATTTGTCATTTTTATTGCACTTTGTGAAAAGCACCTCCATGCCATGTCACAGGGCCCAAGGTGAGGGCCACCAAAGGACACAGCCCTTAGTGCTGAGGTACACAGTGCCCACCAGTGTTCTAAGGATCCTGGACTTTGGGTGGTGATGGTGGGGATACAGGAGACAGAGCCTAGGCCCCCACTGTGCACATTAGGAAACAAGAAGGACCACAGATGTCCGGGCAGGTTCTAGCCCCTGCCACGCCCTGGCCTCTCCCCACAGCCTGGGGTGAGAAGGGCCCACCCCTGAGCCACTTTGAGAAAAGCTTTTTGTAACTGCAACGTTTCTTTTCAATACAGTTAGTCAGTCCCAATCTCAGCTGGGAGCACCCTGGCCCAGGCACACCCCAGGATCCAGGGCCTCGCCCCACCTGGGTCAAAGAGCCTGGCCACCCAGACATCTGGCAATGCCACCAGGCAGGAGGTTTAGCTGCCCCACAGCCTACTTTTCCGCCAGCTTCCCACTCCACCTTGCCCATCATCACTGAACCCCCCAGCCCTCCCCCCTTCCCAGGGTAGGGGACAAAAGGGGAGTTCCCCCATTTTCCATGAAAGAAGTCTTGGAGCAACCACGACAACCTAAGGCCACACAAAACTGGAGGGAGGGCAGTATTCCTCCCATGCCACGGGGCCAGGGGCACTCTCCCACAAGCCTCAGCCCCCGCGGGAAGCAGCCATGAGAGGCCAGAGGGCTGGGGAAGGCTGCCAGGGGAGGTAGTGGGCTCTCAGAGTGTAAATTCCCTCTCTCCTGGTGGGACGTTCTGTGTGGCTGCGGAGGTGAAGGAAGCATGGCCCTGGGTTGCCCTTGGCCTGACCACCCTGCTGTGGGATGGCAGGTCAGTGGCTGGCCCTGTCATCGCCCGTCTGGCCCTGCTACTCCCCCGTGGGCCGGGTGGGTCAATGACGTCCGCCTGCCTGCATGCCCCCCCCCTTTACAGCCAGCTGCCAGCCCCTGGGATCTCCTGACCTGGAAGGCGAACACAAGCCGCTGTGGACAGGCAAACACGGACACTGTTTGTCCAGGGATTGGGGCGCCAGTTTGGAGGGAACTCGGAGACCGCACATTCTGCCACCTCCCAGCGCTTTTCCAAAACAGCCTGGTCTTGGCTGGGCCTGGCTGCCCAGGGCCGCAGGGGGCTGGGAGCCAGGGACAGGGCAGAAAGAAGTGGGGCCCTGGGGCCAGCAGGGTGAGGTGACCAGGGGAGGACAGAGACAGCACTCTGGCAGCTCGACTCAGCTTGATGTGCTTTGGAGGGTGCTGGGTGGGGGTGGGGTGGAAGGCGAGGGAAGGGAGAGACTGTGTGTCTGTGTTGGGGTGAAGTGAACTCACCTGGCCTGGGCGCCCTCGGGAACAGCTTCATTTCTGGGAGAGCTCTGGGCACTGAGCACAGCTTAGACCCACTGGTGGGTGCAGCAGGCTGGGCTTCAGCTTGGCTTTGCAGCTCCCACCCAACCGCTTGTTCCCGGGAAGAGGTTGGTCTGGCTCAGGGTTTGTCCTGCCATGGCTGTGCCTGCTCGGCTTCCCAGGAGACCCCATTCCAGCCCACTGAGGCTTGGGCCCTCCCTGCCAAGGGGACCCTCACTCTCTTCCCCAAGCCCTGGTGCCCCCGCTGCCTCCAACTGGTTCCCCAACCCACACAGCAGGTGAGTGACGGGGGATCCCAGATGGGCTTCCATGAAGCAGGATGCTCTGCCACTGCCTGCTGGGGGAGCTGGGTCTGCCCTGGAGGCCATTTGAGGCATGGGGCAGGCGGAGGGGGGGGTTTCCTTGCTGGCAAGAGCCACATGACCCAGGTGCTGGCCTAACTGGGGATGCATTCTCTCCAGAAGAGAATGTGAGTGTCTGAGAGGCAGGGGTGCTTGAGAAGTGGTTGCTTGGATATACACCCTACCCCTTCCTGGTTGGTCCACACCCTCAGAGGCCATCTTTCCTTGCCTGGCGTAGACCTGACATACTGGCATGGCTTTCCGTCACACAAATTCTTCCCTGGGACTCTCTGAGCCCCCAACAGCAGAGGCCCCCAGGCAGCCTCTGTGAGGACTTTGATTGGCCCAATTTGGTTTTTGTTTGTTTGTTTGGTTGGTTGGTTGGTTTTTTTTTTTGGTACCTGGAATTGAACCCAGAGCATTTAACAACTGTGCCACATCCCCAGCCCTTTTAAAAACATTTTATTTAGATACAGGGTCTCGCTGAGTTGCTAAGGGCCTCATTAAATTGCTGAGGCTGGCTTTGAACTCTTGTACCTCCTGCCTCAGCCTCGGATCTGCCAGGATTACAGGTGTGCACCACCAGGCCCGGCTGATTGGCCCACTTTGAAGTCCATGCCTGCCCTGGCCAGGAAGATGACCTCCTCTGATTAGTCACCATGAAGTGGGATTGGCAATCCAAGGTAGAGGGGAAGGTGGTGGGAGGGGACAGCTGGGGTTGAAAGTACTCCAGGGTACAGCTAAGGCTGCAGCCGGGCAGAGCCAGCAAAGGGGCAGGGGTTGGGGGGGGGCCCGGGCTGCTGAAGTCATGTGCTGGGGTGCAGCAGAGACCAGGCACCCAGTGACATCTTAAGATGGAGATGCTCTTAGTGAATTCCCTGCTGCTTCACGTGAGGTTGTTTGAGTTGTTCTGATGACAACCGCTTCTCCTTCTAAACAAACCCTGCCGTGCATCCCAGGGCTGCAGGACTGTGTTTGTGTGTGCGCGCATGTGGGCGCATGTGTGGGTGATTTTCATTTTGACATATTATTGATTCACACAGAAAAGCCTAGTACACAAAAGGTCCTGTGTACCCTTCACCCAGTTTCCCTCAATGACTCCGTGCACACTCAGAGTATAATATCACATGGGGATTCATGGAACCACCACGATTCCAAAACCTCCCCCTCTTCTCAGTTGGCTCTCAGTAGCTACTAACCTGGTTTCCATATAGATAATTATTTTCTTCTCAAAAAGGTCATATTAATGGAATCACACTGTGTGCAATGATTTGACTTTATTTTTTCCCACACAGCACGATGGAATAATGCCTTTAAGAGCCAACCAAGGCATCACGTGCATCTTTTCCGGTCTCTTTTGGTTGCTCAGTAGTATTGCACAGTGTACATGTACTCCAGTTTGTCTTACCATTCACTCACTGGGAGACTATTGGGTTGTTTACAGTTTGCCTATTACACATAGAACTGCAATGGGCATTTGTGAATGGGATATTTTGTGGACTTTTTTTTTTTTAAGTTTTATTTCACTGGGATAAATGTCCAAAAGTGTAAGTGCTGAGTCATATGGAAGTGGAATGTTTAATTTTATAAGAAACTATTGAACTGTTATCCAAAGTGGCTTTGCTCTTTTCCATTCCCACCAGCAATGTATGAGAGACCTAGTTTCTCCACATCTTCACCAGCGTTTGGCATTACAACTATTTTAGTTTTAGTTATTCTGATGATTTTATTGTGGTATTTCGTTGTGGTTTTAATTTGCTTTTCCGTAATGGCTAGAAAGGTCAAACCTACTTTCATGAACTTATGTGACATCTGTAAATCATCTTGGGTGATATGTTAAACAAATTTTGTTACCATGACAAAATACCTGAGATAGCTAACTTAAAAGGAGGAAAGGTTAATTTTGGCTCATGGTTTTAGCCTAGGGTCTTGTTGCTTTGGGCCTGTGGTGGCACAGTACATGATGGCAGAAACATGTGGTGGAGGAGGTATGTTCACCTCATGGCAGCTGGAACGCAAAGAAAAAGAAAGAAGAGTGGCCAGGGTCCCAATATCTTCTTCAAGGATATAGCCCCAGTGACTTAACCACCTTCCACTAGGCTCCACCTTCTAAAGGTTCCACCTCCTTCCAGTGATACCACAGCCTGAGGACCAAACCTTTAATACATGAATCTTTGGGGCATTCAACATCCAAACTGTGGTGGGTGGCAAAAGTGTTTACTCATTTACTAATTCATTTTTTTCTTCTGCTAAATATTGGGATTTTAAAAAATATTCTAGAAACTAGTATTTTGTTGTATGTGAGGCTTGCAAATGTTTTTTCCCATTCTGTAATTTGAATACTCATCCTGTTAACTGGAAAGCAAAGTTTGAAAATTTTTATCAGGTCCTAGTTATCAATTTTCTTTTTATTGATTGATCTTTTAATGTGAAGTCTGAAACCTTTGCCTAGCCCTAGCTCTTGAAAATTTTCTATTTTTTCCTAAAAGTTCTGTAGTTTAATATTTTACAGTTAAGTCTGTGATCCACTTTGTGTTAATTTTTAAAAGATGTAGGACTTATGTTGAAGTTCTTTCTTGGTTTTTATTTTCAATCTGTGGATATCAGACTATTCCAGCATCATTTGTTGAAAAGGCTACTTGTTCTCTATCAAACTGATTTTGAATTTTCTTT